ACAAATATATATATATTTTAGTGGCAAGCAAAAAAAATTAAACCAATAGATCAATGTGGGAATGGAAATGCAGGGTTACCAAAAAATTAGACACCACGAAGAGTCAATAAAAAAAAATACAAAATAAATTGTGCGTATATAAAGTGGCTGCAGCAATCGAAAATTTTGGGTGAATTGAGCTAAGCACGCCATTTGTTATGCGCTGTTAGTGAAGAGCCCGCCGTAATAAAAACAAAAACAAATGCATAAGAACTTACTGCCAGTTTGGGTGGCTGGCAGAAAGTCACATACCATCACAAGTGTGCATATGTATACACACTTGTCGTTGTCTATGTATTTGCAGTTGACTATGTCCAACGAAACTCTGCCACTGATGGCCAAATAGTGTTTGCAATCAATATTTTAAAGCTCGTATTAGTCTGTATTTATATAGTTTTATATGAGTGGGTTTCAAATTATATTCCTTTTCTTACGTAGCTTTAAGTGTTTGATTGTTCAACGTGAGAGAGTATCAATAGAGATATAGAGACTGTGCTAGTTAGCAATGCTTGCAGGATTAAAATGTTTTAAAATGAGCAATCCTTTTACTCTGATAAATTTTATTGTCCCTTGATATTTGATATCAGTTGACGATATGTGATGAGTGGTCTATATTGACAGTCGACTTGACATGCTATTCATGGGTAGATAGGATCGTTCATATTCGGTCGTCAGCATTGCTAAAACTTTTCAAAAGATTCAGTGAATCAGAAAAAATAGCTAAAAAGTTATTTTCACTGCTGTTATTGTATTGAATCACTGGCTATTGAGAATGTGACTGAAAGAGAAACAATCCCAATTGAATAGCAACCCAAACTTTCTTAAGCTGAAAAAAATTTGACAGCTATGCATCCGAAGCATCTCAGCTAAAAGAAATGTGCGCCGAGGGAACAAAAATATGAAAAAACAACTTTAACATTGAAATTAGTTACAAAAATACATATTTATTAATTTTTTTATGTAACAATGAAACCTTAAAAAAGTCTTTCACTTTGAATGAACCCGGAAAATATTTACTCAAAGCCCGAATGGATAGGAGAGTGATATTTCTTTGTGCCTTGAGAGTTCTGTATTATAAATTTGCTGCCCCGGAATTCTTCACAAAAACAGGCATACAAAATACAAAATTACAAAAATAAAAAAAGATAAAAATTTAAGTAGTAAAATAAAAAAAGTTAAGAATATAAATAAAAAAATAAATTAATTAATAAAAGAATTTAAAAAAGATCTTAGAATAAAGGAGCTTTTGGAAAGGTAAAAAGAAAAATTGTATAACCTATAATTAACAATATTTTAAGCTGATTTAAATTAAAAAAAAGCAATAAAAAAGAATAGAAATATATGAATACATATGATAAATAAAAAAAGGAATAATTCAAACGAAACGAAGTATTATATTTAAAAAAGACATAACTAAGAGTAAATAATGAAACATACATAAAAATGAATTCATAAAAAATTTAAATAAAAATGTATATGAAAATACAAATACAAATAAAGGTTAAAAATAGAAACTAAAAGTGAATATTTTAGTATATGAAAAAAAATTCTGAAAATAAATATGAAAATTTGAATAAAAATTATATGAAAATAAAAAACTTTATTAATGTAAAATATTCATATGTATAAATAGAAAAATAAAAAAATTCTCTTGAACATATTTGCATCTATAAAGAAATAAAAAAGCTTAAAGTCAAGGAATATGGAATAATATTTTTTTAAATTAATTAAAATAAACTGTTTACGAAAATACCACTGCGTATACGTAACTCATTTGTACTTGTATATAAAACAAGCAAATATATATTATATTTAAGGATTTGGCAAACCTGCTATTGTAATCTGGCATATTTCTTTTTGATGTTGTTGATTTCGGCATAAAAATGGAAATAAATCGACATGAGTATTTGACAAACAGACGCTCTATCCAACAGTAACAGTATTCATCAATAGTATGAATATCTCAGTTAAAGATCACTTACTTACTTACTTTATTGGCGCAGCTTACGCTTTTACTGTTTGGCGCCAACTCAAAATACCAAGTACAGCCAGGACCTTCCCTACCTGGTCTTTCCAACAGAGTGGAGGTTTTACTCTTCCCCTGCTTCCACCGGCGGGTACTGCATCGGGAATTTTCAATGCTGGAGTATTCGCATCCATCCGGACCACATGACCCAGCCAGCGTAGCCGCTGCTTCTTGATTCGCTGAACTATATCAATGTCGCCGTATAACTCATACAGCTCATCGTTCCGCTGTCTGCGGTATTCGGCGTTGCCAACTCGTAAAGGACCATAAAACTTACACAAAAACGTTTCTCTCGAAAACTCCTAACGCCGACTCATCAGCTGTTCTCATCGTCCATGCTTCTGCGCCATATTCGTCTTGTCCTCGTTCACTACTAAACTTATTATTTTTGCTTCTTTATCAGAACTAATGGCGCGGTTGTTGAGGTCGATAATGTCAATATCATCGGCGTACGCCAGCGGGTATACACTATTATAGAAGATTGTACCTTCTCTATTCAGCTCTGCAGCTCTTATTATTCTCCCCTGCATCAAATTGTAGAAATCACCTCGTTTGGTATCGAACGGCTCGGAGAGGTCCTTCCCAATTCTGACTGCGCTTCTGGTGTTGTCTAGCGTCAGCTTGCACAACCGTATAAGCTTTGCGGGGATACCAAATTCAGACATGACGGCATTGAGGCAGCTCCTAATCGTGCTGTCGAAGGCGGCTTTAAAATCGACGAACAGGTGGTGTGTGTCGATCCTATTTTTACTGGTCCTTTTCAAGATTTGGCGTAAGGTGACTATCTGGTCAATGGTTGACTTGCCTTGAAGCCACAATGATAAGGTCCAATCACTCCAAGACGAATATCGTGAAGGTCGACCAAAATCAGTTGTTGTTTTGCCGAAATTGCTTGTTGCTACGTTCAAACTGATAACACAAGATCGTCACGGGACTCGAACAACAATAGATATTAGTGAGACAAGAATACATTAAATATGGCTTGAGAATTTGGCTGCTAAAATATTGTTCACGTTGGATTGCACATTATTTGCCAATCCCTCAAAAATGTGTTTGTGTGGATAGAACGAGAGAAATTAAAAAGAGATTACGATACTGATGCTTATTTTTGTACATAAAAAACAGACTGAGAGATCAACAATTTTCGACACCTGAAGGAAGATTGAGACGTTCAGAACGCATGTTTTGGCGACACTTCTATCAGAGTGGCAAAAATGTTTCGACAATTGGTTCAAATGCATGCAAAGGTATGAATCTTAAAGCAAAATATTTTAAAAAACAATAAAGCAATTTTCGGTGTTTATTAATTATTTTTGTTCTCTATTGAGAACGTCCAAATTAATTCATTTCTACTTGGTATGCTTTTTCTAGTTTAACAGGATGGCATTTCGTTCTATATTTTTTCCTTTCTAATTTTTCATATTTTTAACACTCCTTCGTTAAGGTAATCCTCATTTCATATATGCTTTCTGCAAGTTTTTCCCCATTAACAGTGACAAGTGAGCACTATGAAGTGAGAGAGAGATAATAAAAGAAGAGTATCAGCAACACAAATATCCGGTGTTACAAGCATTTTACATTTCAGACATTATTCAACTTGTCGACCGACACGTTTGTACATTCATATGGCAAAAGAACATCTGCATCAAAAGAACGGCTTGCTCGGAGCTAATGCCACTGCCGTTGACAGGACGCATGTTGTAGATGAATGCACACAAGAAAAAAATATTAAGAAAAAATTAAAAATAATAGGAAATATAAAAAGAAGATAACTTGAGCTGAGCAAAAATTAAATTTTTCATTAATGAATGGCAAAAGAGTAAATCCAGAAGGAGATGCAGACAGATGCAGATGAGTTTTTGGCCATTTCTTGAAAGTCAAAGAAAAGCATAGTAAACAAGTAATGAAAAGGTATATTGAAAAAATGCGTGCTTATGGATAAAAGTGATGTAAGCAATATCGGCGGTGATGACCAGAAATATCAGGCAACGCATAAAGGTGTACATATGTACGTTAGATGAGGCGAAGAAATAGCTTAGCGGATTTCTAAGAGTGGAAAAGTCAAATGCCAAACCAAAACAAAATGTTAAATGTTAATGATAAAATCTTACTTCAATTCCAATAACTTATCCTTACTTCAAAACTTAAAAGGACATTTGAGGAAAATAATCAACTGCTTGTGACTAAACTAATGATATATTGCACATCGAAATAGCTTGTCAAATAATATGAACTAAAATGTCTGAGCCCTCCAAAGGATCAAACTGTTACCTCAAGGTTTTCTAAATCCCACAAGGGAAGGAAACATTTAAAAGCACGAGTTACTCTCCAAATGTTCACCGTTTTAGAACTGGCGCACTCTAATACAACAGCCATGGCCAACTTTCAACAAGAAAGGCATATTAAAAAATTTGCCCAAAAACCAGCTGAGCACTGTAAGAAGCGAAGAGAATATGCCCTCAACAATAAAAACAGCATAAAAACAAAACTTCAATGAAAACAACGCAAGCAAAGAATAACAAACACACGCATACACCAAATTGAAGTGAAGAAAAGCCGCACAAAAACAAACACGCCAAGAATTAACACATACGAAGAAAAAATTAAGCACAACAGAAACAAAGTAAGAAAGTCAATGTGCAAACGAAAATGGAAGATAAAGAAAAACGGCGTAAAATTTATCAAGTTGACAGCTCTAAATGTCCTTGAGTGTGCCTCATGTGAACGAGTGGAGTGTGAGCACAGTGAAGTTACAAACGAGAGAGAGAGAGAGAAAGAGAGAGCGCACATAGGACACGAAATTGACTTCGTTCTTTCGAATTCGCCGTGAAGTAAAGCTTTCGTACGCAACTCGCTGGATATGCCCGAAAGGATTTGCTGATTTTGGTTTTTAAACAAGCGTCACAGTGTCTGGCGAAACAGAATCAAACGGGCAGCGAACGCGTGCGGTAGACATTTCGCGATTAACTAAATGAGTGTTATGTACCGTTTTGGTTGAAAGAAAAAGCATAACTGTAGTATGTGTGTGTGAGTGCACATTTGAAGCAGTTTTTACGGTTTCCGAAGAAAGTAAATAAAAAGTGCTATAAAAAATAAATAGTGAAAACATTACGAATATATTTTTTTGTTTGTTTTGGCAACGTCAATATATAAATCAGTCAATCAACAAAATGAACACAAACAATTAGCCGCGCATCCTTAGCAACTCAGGCGGCACTTTGCGCTCGTTATACGTTTTCCGAGCGTTGCTATATCCTGCGGCGTTTCTTTATTTAGCAACTGAGTGTGTGGCTGTGCGTATGTTTGTGCCATTTTTTGTTATGCCAATGTGTCCTCGATTATATTTTTTGGGATTATAAGACTTTGACTTAGTGCTTTAAAATAAATAACACATATACAAGCCAACAAAAAAATCGAAGAAACACATATACATGCATATAAAATATAAATAAACAGCGTGTCTGTGTGTGTGTGTTAGTGCAGTGTGTTTATATTTTTATTTTTATTTTTTCTTATTTATTTATTTATTTATTCAAAAATATTTCTTTACAGCAGCAGTCACGTTGTGTTACAATAACAACAACCAGTGAAATCACAAAGTCTTACAACATCATACTTTGTTTATTGGCATGTGCAACAACAATAAATACAACTAACGGTAGTGGATAAAATTGAAATTGTGCCAAATTTATTTCAGCGTGTGCTTTTTTTCACTCGCGCGTGTGTGTGTGTAGGCTTATTTGTGCTGTTAATATTTAACACTCACAACTACATTGACATACAAACAAACATCTTTTGAGTTGTGTGTATTCTGCCATAGTCTACTGTGCTACTGTAAAAGTCACCGTTATAATAAAACATTTTTTGCACAAAATGTCACTGCATAACGTCGCATCGTTGCAGTTTTGGCTGGTCATCCTTTTGGGGTTAAGCCACTTTGGCACGCGAACCGAAGCACGTGCGGTGAGTAGAAAATCATTTTTGTCTTTACTTTTGAAAATACAATATAAAAAGGTGTGCTGAGAAGCAAAAAAAGAGTAATATGAAAATTAAAATTAGAAAAAATATATATGAAAGAAAAAGAAGAAAAAAATATTAAAAAAATTTATGGAACTTGAAATAAAAGCTAATAGAAATATAAATATAGTTTATAAAAATAAAAATAAAAATGAAAATAATAACTAAAATAAATACAATTAAAAAAAATATATATGTATAAAATTATTTGTAAAATAGAAATAAAATTAGAAACTCAAGTTCTTACAAAAATATTTGTTAGCATGATTAAGCTAAGAAAAAACCAAAAAGTTAGTGTTCGTACTCAACTAAATACGTATCGGCAGGGAATATCAATCTCTCCGAGTGTATTTATGACATGAAATTAAGACTCCTCAAAAAAAAACCATCAACCGTTCGGAGGCGTTAGACCCTTTCATTTTTTGGAAGTACTTCAAGATGCAAAACCACAAATTGGAGAAGGAGCTGGGCCGAAAATCGCTTCAGCGGCTACCAAACGCAAATTATATAATTTTGTTTATGCTAAAAAATTATTAGGATTGTGAAACCATATTATTTTTATATTGTTGTTATACAATGTTTGTTATATAAATTCAAGTCATGGCGATAAAATTCTTTGGTGGTTACATGAGACTAAAAAAAATCAATATTTTGTGAATACTTCCTTGATACCATGAAATTTTCCTAGCTTTCATTTAGTGACGGTTATTCAAATGATGTCCCAAAAGAACGCCAGACAAATTTCTTGATGGAAATTTTTATTTTGGCGGTTTGAATCATAATAAGACAAAAAAGATGATGAATTATCACAAAAAAAAAATATAAATGTACATCATAATGAAACAAATGTTGAAAAAATTAAGTCTGTTTAAAAATCCTTGTCGGCTGATTATTGCGTTCGGAGGTGTGAAATTGCTAAAGTACTATATTTTTCTTTTTTTTTTCAATTTATTAGTTCGCTTGATTTGCTTAACGGTGTTTAGATTTTAAAAATTCTTACAGCTTTGCGCACATATTCATTAATTATTATATTAAGTACAAAATTTTTTATTTTTTTTATTTTTATTATTTTTTATTTATTTTAATTATTTTGATATTTTTCTTTAATATGAAAGCTTACGCTCCCCTTATTTTTTGGACATTTTAAGGGAGCTACATGAAAAAAATATTATATATTATGTATAATATTTTTTTTATGTAGCTGATATTGAAAAGTTTCAAACAAAAATTGCGGTTATGAAAATAATTTGCTATGAGCTAAAAAATGGCTTTTTAAAAGCCAGCTGGTTTTTGGAAAATCTCGGTAAATTTAATCAGCGCTACTCAGTGAAGCCAGACATTTATTCGTATGATAACAGCAAGAGAAAATTTGGTTTTAAAGCCCTTTACGTAAAATAAATATATACAAATACTATATATATACTTTTTAAGTGCGATTTATGCTTAAAAGATTTTCAGTCGTTCAAACTTCTTTTTTCTTAAATATTCATATCAAATATATATTTTTTGTTTTCATTGAATATTCGAATATGATTCAATTCATATATGTAGCTCTTACCTTTCTACGTCTCATCACCGTTATCGAGCATTATTTAGTATATTTTTTGTTTGTTAAAAAATCAAAAAGCTTAATATTTTTGGCACGTCTTCAGAGCTCATTATTCGCGCAAAGTCATGCCATTGTCTGCGATTTTTGTATTTTCGCAAAACTCACTTGCCAAATTTTTCACGGATTATATGTCTATGTATATATACATAGCTAGGTTAGGAGTATGCTTACTTCTTTTGCGTACTTACAAATTTATGGCACAAATGTGTAGGTTAGCTGTTTAAACAGTATATTTTTTTTTTTTTTTTGGAACTTATTTTCATCTCACTTCAAGTAAATATTTAACAACGGTAAATATTTTTAAAATCACCATTCATATGCTCAAAAAATACTAAAGAAAAATGGAGAAGATGTTGTAATATTTCATGCTCGTCATGTTAACTTTCATCGGATACTCTGCTGCACAATGTTGCTCATTAGTATGCCAATCATGCGTCAGAATTGATCTATTTGCTGTAGTGAGCCATGAAAATTTTCAGAGTTTATTTTCAAAAAAAAAAAACAAATAAATAAAATAAACTAGAAAAAACAATCAAAAATTATAAAGCAAAATTTCACAACAAAAAGTCAATGTCAGCCTAACAAATATTTGTAAAACGGTAATTCGTACTCGAATTTACAATTTACAAATGGCATTCGTTACGCTAAATGAATCATTCATTTGTACATCCATTTTCAAAGTTACAAGTTACAACAACATGCTTTTCGTTTGTATGTATTTCTTTTATTTTGCCATAAAACGTTCATTTATGTTGTATTTATTTGTGTATTTATTTCCATTCTTCCCTCCCGCACTGCTATTTCCATTTTAAATGCCTTTTAAGATTCAATAAGCATTGTATCGCTGCAAACACATTATATATATATACATACATTTATATATAGTGCTGATGATGCCTATTCAAACTCAAAGCAATTTTAGAAATACAAGTTACACAGTCATAACCATCTGTCATGCGTCATTAAATTCAAAACTGTCAAATGTCAAGCAACGAAACGGCATTGCTCTGGGCGAAAATATTTGTGGTTGAGCACAATATTGGATGATAGGGAAGTTGTATTTGGCTGTGTGATTCTACGGGAATGTGACAACTAAACAGTTTATAAACGGTACAGTGGATTGAAATCGCTAAACAGGCGTTTAGAAAGACTACTGGTTAATAGCTATGGTGAATTAATCAATTAATTCATAAAATGGTTGTGCAAAAAAAAAAATTGGATGGGGCAAATTTCAAATCTATTCTACAATTGTCACTCAATCAAATTGTAAAAACCAAAAAAAATGGGTTTCTCGTCATGACATGTCATGAGCAACGAATTAAAAAGTTGATGGAAAAAAAGGGTCTATGGTTCATAACACAAAAAATCTAACCGAAAAAGATGGCTTTGTTAAAATTTCAATGATATTTTGTTAAGACAACGGCATAATTACCAAGCTATTTATATTCCACCAATTTTTTTTTCGTAGGCTTCGAGATTCCGAACATCAAAGTCTCCGATTGGGAAATATGCCCCTAAAGACCTCAAACTCTCATGACTTGGTAATATTTTCTGTGATAGTTACTCCAGTATGGTTCATTTTTACGAACTTTCGTTTGATAAAACAAATGAAAAAAATAATTTGTAACAAAATTCGCGTAAAAAATGAAATAATTTGTGTTAACAATCATGTGTCACAAAAATATGGCTAGCAAAATTCGTTTATCCAAGATTTTCACGTAAGGTCGAACTGTTAATTGCACTCTTCCCAAAAATTTGATGGGTCATGTATATCAAACTAAAAGACAAAAGTGGCAAGGTTGCACGCTTAAATATTTACAACGGCCTATGGTGAGACTGCTTTGAATTAAACAGGAATTTATCACTGATTTAAGCATTTTCGAGAAGGCCGATGTCGAACTCTCTGAACGCGCCAGCACATCAACAACCGTTGAAAATGTGAAAAAAGTGAAAGTAATGTAAATGAATGGCCGCTGAATAACAAGAAAATTTGTCGCTAATGATGCTGCCATATTAGTTGAAATATGTCATGAGCCTTTTTTATGTTTTAGTAGCCATTTTTGCTTGCCAAAGCTATGTGGGATTTTTACCTTTAACCAAAGAAGAAGAGTACCCTACACTACAGTCGTTTTACAGTCGTAGATGACATCAAAAGCGCATAGCCAGAAAGACATAGTTTAGGAAGTGTTTTTGGGATTACAAAGAGGTTGTGATACAAGTGCATAATCCTTACTGGAGAGTACTTTGAAGGCCACAAGAGCAATGTATGCAGTAAAACCTATCAAAATTTTCCTCAAAAATGAATCGTTGTTTTTGAACCCATATCGATGTTACGTTATTTCACTTCATGTCGTATTACATAAATTTATGTAACCTGCTGCACCGTTAGCTATATGATACACAAACTACTATATATTTGTGAGAAAAAATGTCTTTATTGAAACTAAAATATAATCAAGTTCATATTGGCCGTAATATCCTTGTGCCATTTTTTTGATAAAATTTTTATTCTCTTAAAGCAAAACTTCTGTGACTTACTGGTGAATAACTTTGCTAAATGATTTTCAGTTGCGCCTCAGTCGGGCATTTTTAACTCACCAGCTTAGTTTTGCAGAGACCGAGCCTACCATTATGGGCGTATCAAAGCCTCAAAGTCTAGCTAAGTCAGTTTTCGCCTAATTATCAACAAAAAAAATTTTTTGGTGTTTTCATAATAAAACACAAACAACTTTGCTTTTGGGTATTTTACGCCATTTTTGAAGATTTTGTTTTAAAATTGTTAGTTGTTGAAAGTAGAGCATAGAGATGATTGTTTCGCCAGCTGTAGCAGCTCATAATTGAAAATTCCCCTTCCATCCCTTGAACTAAGCATGACTTTATTTGCCGCCTGTTCATTTGAAATCTTTCATTGTGGACGGTCATCGGGCTTGAACCATAATTTTCTTAATCTCATATTTTCGCATTTAACCCATATTGCACCGCAAGTGATGAGTTGTTTCAGAAATAATTTGGCTTCTTGCTTTTATAAGCATTTTTACTGATGTGGGTTTTAATTTATTCCTATGACAGTCTAGCTCCTTCGAGGTCTTTTATCTAGACAAATTCTTTCAAAAGAAGTCTAAAATTTCTCGTTATGCTTAAATTTTCCGTAAAGGAAGGAAGGAGCAATTCAAATGTGGGTCCGGAATTTACTTGCAAGAGTCTCACTGAATCTTTCTCTAAAATAACACTAACAGGCCTATTCTGTGGAGGTAACCAAAATGTATAGGCATATTTTATGTCTAGAAATCATTGAAAATGAAAAAAGTGCATAAAGGTGCTTGTTAAGAAATTTGCG